ACTTTCTGCTACAAATTCAAATATGCAGCAAAACCTTTAAATAAACCTTCAAATAACAATACTGGTTAGTAGATCTCAGTTGTATCTATAGACTAGGATTCATCTTAAAGCATGGAAAACACCAAGGTTTCTTCCCCCTCCCATTTGTATGCTGTTGCCTATTTTTAAGATACAAGGGAGTAGCTAACAAAATATTTTAATTAGATGTGAAATACTGGTATTGTACAGAATCAGTTCTGTTATGCTATGCGTTGATATTTGAGTGTTAAGTATATATGATCCCAATATACTTTCTAAAGTCTGAGAAAGACTTTATTAATTTTAGTGTGTGATGACAGCATTTTTTTGTTTACATCTTTAAAAAACTGGATTGCTTGTGTGCCATCCATTTATAATGTGTAATGTCTTTTATTAAGCAGTTCCAAGTTACATAATTGAATTTGCAAACTTAAGAGTGTTAGGTTAATTATATTTGTACTTATCTGGAGGAAAACATTATTGAACTCTGTGGATTTGTTTCTGAATGAATATGAATTCAATTATGCAGTTAAATCTATCCAAGTAAGGGATTGACTATTGTTTCCTAAACAGAAGTAAAATATTAGTATTTGAACTGTATTTTCAGTATAGAATGGATCTTATGAGTCTAACACTTTTGAAATCATGATTTGTCATTTTTCTCTATTAAAATATCATTGGAAAGAACAAATAATGTGACATTTACAGCACCTATTTACTGATAGTAATAACACAACACTTCTTCACTAATCCCCAACTCAAAATCTATCAGTATATTCACAAATGCTAAAACTTGCATACTTCTGATTATATTGCTTAATGGAAAAGTTAATGGTATTTTATAAGGAAATATTGTTAAACCTATTAAGTAGCTTTCAAGGCTGGAATAGCCTTATTTTTTATGAAATGAAGGAACGTGCTCTGGAAAGCTACATAGGTAGTGCAAAAAGGAAACAAAGGACATAATGTAAAATGTATTTTTTTTTCTTTTAGCTTTGCCTAAAGAAGTCAAGGTTTACAGAATTTTAACACTCTTCACAAATGGACAGTTGTCTGGTGTCAGAACATCAAGAATAAAAGCTACAAAAAGTGCTAGTTGTATAAACATTGATGTGCTCTGTTGCTCTGAAGTATGCCCACTGTTGAAATTTGATAGGAGGCTACTCAAAAGATTGCTGTCAGATGGGAATATGAGAATACAGTATTCATTGGTTACCAGTGGATTTCTACTTCTCTGCGCAGAATTGATCATAATTCTTTTTGTTAGGCCACAGAAGAAATGCACAGAAGAGTTAGTCTTTTTGACAATAGCTAAATCAAACTAAAAAAATCTGCCAATTATATATAAATTAAATTTAGGATGAAAATTATATCTATTTCTGTTTAGCATAATCTATATTTATATAGTTTGGTTTGTATTATTAGTTAAATAAACACGTTTCAATGTATTATATAAACAGATATTACTACCTGTTACATATCTGTTAATATTGGAAGTGTCCAGATTTCCAGTGTCATAAAATGTATTTTTAAAAATAACTTTTCTGTATTACAATATATATTTCCCATTCTGGAAATAGGGATGAAAATAGAGCACGGACTTGCTCTCATTTCTGAGTTTCAGATCCAGTCAGTTTTATATCATATCCTAGTGTATAAAATGCTATCAGAAAAAAATCATACACTGTTATGGATTATGATTTTTGTAAGACCTTGTAAGTACAGCTTACATAATCATTGTTACTAAATAAACCACCCATCCACAATACTGATTAATGGACCACCATTATGACATGGTCTTATTGGTGAATTTTTTATGTGAACATTTGCACAAATCACATAAACTTGATTTAACTGGTATTTGTAAAGAATAGAAGCATGCAAAAATACTGTTAAAAAACTATTTTTTCCAAGTCATTGAAACAACTGAAAAGTGCAGAGACAAAGGTTAATCTAGGTGATGTGTACACATACAGACAATATTAGGATAGAAGACATTTGTGATATAACCTGATTAAATATTTAGTTCAGTTCTAAGCACTTAATACTTAAATATAACATGACTGTATAAAAATTGAAGTTTATTTTAATCCAATAAAAGATTTGCTAACACTTTGTTCATTTGGCTAAACAATATTGTATAATACTTGTAATACTTGTAATATGATATACAGGATTGTATTAAAGTAATGATAATCAAGATATGATTACATTTGTTCTATTCTCTGATAGGTAACTTTTATGATAAAAATGATATTAGTGTAGCATGAGACTTGACTGATATTTGTCCATGATCACGGTTTTCAAAATTGTTTCAAACTCTAAACAGACTTTGTGTAAGACTTCCAGAACTTCAAAATGTTTTCTTAAGTATTAGTTGAGATTGCTGCAATTTTAGCATGTGAAAGAAGGCATGCATAGAAGAACCTTTTTATAAACAGCCAACAAAATTTGTCTTGCCAATATATTATTCTTTTTGTTTCTCTCTAAACATTGGTCTAAACATTGTGGCATACATTTAGAAGAGAAAGAGGGAGGTATATTTGTATGTGTCCCTAAAACAATTTGCACAGTAGCTTTCTTTAACCTGCAAATTTAAATGTGCAGAACTGAACTATATTAAACTGTACTGTACATAAATAAGACTGAAAATAAATAAATCACAACATACAACTCTATACATCATTCTAAACACATTATTATACTGTAATGTCAAACTGAGAAGCTGAAACTATCAGCCTTCATTTCTATATTAAATAACTTTGCGACTTCTGCTTTTAGACATTGACCTTGACAGAGTAAATGGCATGTACATATTTAGTTCACTTCTAAAGGATGGGTTAAAAAAGAGAGGCACCCAGAAAATATTAAGCACAATTAGTTTCCTGCCTCCAAGTTAGAAGTAATGTTGAAAAGATCTGAATAATTACACATTGTTGTGCATAATAATAGGACCCTTTGGGAGATTTACAAAAATAAATTAAGACACAATAATTTATTTCCTTCTGTAATTCTAAGAATGGCAATGAACATACTGTAAATGTTCTCCTATTTTTTCAATAATACTATTATATCCTTGAAAAATAAAACACAGCATGTCAATATACAATTATATTGCAAAATGAACAAGTATGCGATTAATAGAAGTTTTTTGTTTCCTCGGTGGCTATTTTTGTGTGTATGTGAATACGTATCACATATAGAACTGTGTGTCACTTTCATCAAATGGCTTTAAAACTGCCTAAATAACCGTTATGCTCTCATTATCTTACCACAGGGTGGAAGCAATAGTTACATTGTTTAAATAACCTTACAAACTGAGAAGTTCTACTTTAGTCAATGGGGAGTATGGCATGCAGATTTAATTTAGTAAAAGACGCTTATTACTACTAGCTCTTCAATCCCTTCTTAGCAATTAGATGCCTTGCTTTGGTCTGGTCTACAAAACTGTGACATCACAGCTGAAACAAAGCATTAATTACTGTGTGTTCCATGATGATGACATCAATACTAATCAGTACCTGGTTATCAGATGTGAATTACCAAGGGAAGTGAAGATGCCAAGAAAACTTGTCTCTGTACTATGGCTATGCAAAACCCCTTGATGGGCTGAATAAAGCAAACTTCGTTGAAGAGATCCTTCCAAAGTTTTGGCATTGGTTTTCTAGACTTTAAATATGTTCACAGACTCTGCACATGTTTATTTATACATGCACGATAACCCAAGGTCAGCTAGTAAAGTACCTCTAATTCCAACTTGAGCCTTCTGGAAGATGTGCAGCGAGTTGAGAAAGGGGTGGGGTGGGGTGGGATTTCAGATGTGCCCACATGTGCTTTGTGAAGCACCTTTGCCTACTGCCTATTGTAAACTTCTAGCCAGAAGCTGATTTTGGAGAATAACCTGATTAAAAAAAAATCATCTTGTAACTAAACCTGTTGCTGTTTAAACAAACTAATGTTATTGATCAAGTTTAATTCTTATTGTGCCATAATTAATTTAGGAACCAATTTACATGGTCCATTTAATTTTAACCCAACTAATATTATTTAAGGGCTCATTATCAGAAGAAATCTTTATGACAATAATATACAATGGATGCTTAGATCAGTGTTTCTCAACTTTGTCGATTTTAAGATGTGTGGGATTCATTTCCAAGATTTCCCCAGCATTCTGGGAGCTGAACTCCACACATCTTAAAAGTTGACAAGGTTGAGAAGCACTGCCTTAGATAAATGCATTTCTTAAGAACAATTCTTGTGAAAATGAGTCTGTTTGGGCTCCATGAAAGTAACTATTTTAATAAGCTCTTACTAAATATATTTACATATTAGTTTTAATTTTCATTCTTTGAATATTTAGGTTTAAAATATTTTGCAAGTGAATTTGGATTCATTTTTCCCAAAACAGCTGTCATTTGGATATCATCAATTTTAACACATGGAGGGCTATACAGTGAGACTTGAAATACGACCCCAAATTCAATACATTCAAAAAGGATACTCTTCCAGCTTAGTATTCTAGGCCTCTTCCTTCATTCAAAAAAAGATAGAAAGGGAAAAGGGTTTTTTTTGTCAGAGTTGAAAGTTCCAATGTAAACAGCAGAAATCTAAAAAGCACCTGTATGCACTAGACCAGAGGCCCCCAACCTTTTGGGCACCAGGGACCGGTTCTGTGGAGAAAGATTTTTCCGCAGACCAGAGAGGGCGTGTGCTGCCTGCATGTAGCGGATGGGGCTTTGCTTGTTTGTGCGGCCCGGTTGCTGGCATGTTGTGGCCCGGTGCTGGTCCACGGACCAGGGGCTGAGGACCCCTGCACTAGACAGACCTGCTGGCATGGAAGAGGACTCACATTTCCTGAAATCTATGTACACACTACTACTACAACTACTAGTAGTAGTACTAGTAGTAGTAGTACCACCACTCTTTATTCAAAACTGATTAGATGGCTCAACAGCCGTTTTCAGTCTGTCCTTGTGAAAAAAAATAAGCAGGGAAAATGAAACATATTGAACATATTGCATGATATAGAGCAGCAGTGCAGTTCAATAGGATATACATAATAAGATTTCCTTTGTTCTTACATATACAAACTGTACAAAATTAGCCTCATTGGTGTATCAAACACATTTTGCTTTACATTTCTAGAGAAAAGACAGAGGGAACAGTTTGCACGTCTGAAATGTTACATTAGAGCGTGGTGTATTATATTTTATAAACAATATCTACATTGAATTCAAAAAGATGTCTTTAAAAGATTGTAGAACAATAATATAAAAGCATTCACTTAAAAAAATGAAAAACACCTTGTGATGCAAAATATTGCTAGACATCATCAGCTGGTAGAGCTGGTATGCTTATTTTCGCTCTTGTGAAGTATGCCATCTTCTCCCTTAAGAATAAATATAAGGGGAAACAAAAATGCATTTAAATGTAGAACAATATATAATAGACTCCAATACTAGAAGATAAAAGAAAGAAGAAGCAAATGACAATTTGCATCAAAGCACTATATAGCAAATCCTTAGGCTTTTAATATACAGTTATTAGAAATACAATTTAACTGAGTTCAAGTAGGGCAGTGCTCAAATAATATTTCTGTAAAAATATTTATTTTGCGATAGGCCACTTAAGTAGTTTAGAAAGTTATGGGAGACACAATGTGCCCTTCTTCTACCAAGGGCATCCATAGTTTCTCTACCTGGAAAACAACATGGTGAATAAGAACATAAATGTTGATTACACAGCAAGAGTTGGGATTTATTTTGGGAGATTTAAGTATGCTTTGTAGATTGGATGGATGAAGAGGATGAGAGGCTGACTATAAGAGTGTTGCATTCCAAGGAAACAGAAGAGATGGGGGCAGGAGGCACTTAGTAACCAGGGAAGTCAATACAGAAGAGGATGCAATGAGACATACAATCCAGCAGATTCATTACTCTCCCCACTGGATTCTGTTAAGCACTTAGGCAGTATTTGGAATGCAGTGGTGGTGGTGGTGGTTCTTGTCACCTTAAATGGCATCAGGTTTCTGTTTGTGCTAGCTGGTAATGATGGCAAGTTTTGGCTAGAGCAGTGGTGGCAAACCTATGGCACGGGTGCCAGAGGCGGCACTCAGAGCCCTCTCTGTGGGCATGCGCGCCATCGCCCCAGTCCTAGGCCTTCAGCTGGGTTTTATAAAACCTTTTCGCTTTAGGCCTCCGTTGCCATGTGCAAAAAAAAAAAAGGTTCAATCAATCAATTTCAACTGCTCATAGAAAAAAAAAGATCTCGCAAAGCTGGAATTGATTGATTGAACTTTTTAGTCCCACCCAGTCTGCCGTTACCACCACAGCCACGCCCACCCAATTGACCACACCCACTCAATTGACCACACCCACCCAATGGGCCACACCCATCCGGCACCCGACGATACATAAGTGGGTTTTGGGTTGCAGTTTGGGCATTCGGCCTCTAAAAGGTTCGCCATCACTGGGCTAGAGTGTCTATCTTTATGCACCCAGTACAGCAATGCCACTAAGCCCCTTGGCATCTTTGCTCCACTTTTCCAGCAAGAAGCAGTGCAGAGTGGAAACCTGAGATATGGCTGGAGAGAGCTGAGGCAACTGGAACAGACACAGCATGAGTCACTAACTTGAACCCTGATAGTGCTCAGGTATTTTGCTGTCTGAGATCTGGCCCAGGCTCCTGTTCACTGAAGTGGTCTTGCTGTTGTTGTTTTTTTCTATGTGCAGACTGGGAGTGTTGGCAGGCATGATCAACCACCCACTTGGGAATGGGTTTGTTGGAAATGGGAAAAGAGCAATGCAGATGTAGAAATGGTAAGGCGAGCCTCTCTGATTACTATACGCCTGGAAGCAACAGCAATTGAGAAGAGTTACTAGGATCTATGGTGGGGAATGACAGTGGTTAGATGGGTTCATTGGCCAAGAATGGCGGGGTTGAGGGGAAGTGGAGTTGGGGAAAGGAGAGGCAGGTAGTAGCATTAAGATTGTAATGGGCAGAAGAATTTTGGGTAGCCTAGATCCTCCATGGAGGAAACAATTTTGACCAGATCTCGGAGCTGCTGTGTAATTCTGGCAGCAGCCAATTACTGTGATCCAGATGAATGCAATGATCTGATCTCATCTTTTCTTTTCGTGGGGACAACCAGACCAAATTCTGAGTGGGGAAATGACCAGACAGTGGACTATTTCCCAGATGGAGCTTACCAATGGGACTAGTGACATCATAGAAGGAGTTATACAAGGTCAGTATTTCTTGAGACAAAAAACAAAACAAAACAACCCAACTCTTCCGTTCTCTGTAGCAGCCGAAGCAGAAATGGCCATGGACACACAGAGCCCCATGGTCAGATGAAAAGGAACAGTCCTGTAGTAGCCCAACTGCAGGTCACTGTTCCTCTGAAGACATCTATCTGACATATGAAGTTCATTTCAGCCTTTTTCTGTTTTCTAATGGAAAATATTATTTTCCTGCCACCTTCAGCCTCTTCAGCAGCAGGCTGTCTCCAAGATGGAAGATCCATTGTTAGAACATTTCTTTCCAGCTGCCTTGGGGGCTGGCTCAAGAAGGTAAAAGCATTTATTGTGTATAAGCTCCCTTAAATTCCCTTAGCTAGTGGTTACAAAGCCAGATTGGCTAACATTTAGGGAAGAGATCAGAGAGGTTTTCCAATAACCAAAATGGCCGTGGTTTTAATTTGAACTATAACCACTATTTCCTCAGACAAATACAAACAGATAGATAGAACTTTATTCTGGTCATTTCATCAATGTGTTTCTAGCCAGGTGAATTACTAGAAAAAACTGACTATTGACAGGATGCTGAAAACAAGTGAAGCAAACATTTCTCTGGTGTAAATAATTTGTTAATTGGACAGAAACTTCCTAAGATTCAACCAAAATTCTTCTGTAATCCTATTCCCGTTAGAAATAGTAGATATATTTTTTCAAGCTATCTCATGAGTATAATACCTAGGCATTCAATTTATCACATTCATATGCCAGAACTGATATGATCCTTTGCCCATCCTATAAATATTTCAGGAAAATTATAGTGAATTTATTTTTAATAGACAATAGAGTTAAAACAAGTGTATTTTACTTGTTATTGAAAAGAACTAGTTCTTTCTGAGTTGTTTTTGGACATGGGACTCCAAAGCTAAATCTTGTCTTTGATTATTTACTTCAGAATGTTTGAATTAATTTGTCTTGTAAATGATCGAAACTGCAGTGAAGTTTACCATAGACTATTTATACCTTTTTCTATAACTGTCAGAGCTCGCGTTCAGTCCAAGTGTGAATTACATTTAATTGCTTTACATGTTCTCCCCTCTAATTATTGACCTGACAAAACCACTCAAATGTAATTCATATAACACAACCATCACAATTCATACACCATAACCACCATAATTATTGCTGCTGCTATTATTAGTTTTTCTCCTTCTTGTCTTTTTGCAGAAATAAAATATGACATATATATATATTCTAATATATTTTAAAAATAAGCATGCACTTGAATTTGTCACTTACCACATTTCAAAACACGGGTAGAAAAGAAAAAAACATTCCATCTGTGTCTAACGTAGTCACATTTAAAATTATAATTTGGCCACAAAGGCTACAGAGATTTCTAATTCTAGAACTATTTGCTGCATACTGAAGCTGAAAATTCAATGTAGAAATTGCTGAATACTTTTACAAAGCTCATAGAGATACAAATTCTCTTCACCTGAAAGACTGCACCTGTAGTGGCACTTTCTGGCTTTGCTCTCGTAGTCGACAAACGTCTTTTGAAGCTTTCCTCATCATTTTTTCTGCATTTAATCCCTGTTTCTTTTTGTCCTTTGACTGTTCAGCCTAATGGAAAAAAATTACAAGCCACATTTAATAACTCAAAATATGATAGAGGACTTAAGTAAGCACCTTGCAAACCATCTTCAGCAGAAATAAATGGAAAGGCATCTTGCCACTGCAATTCAAATGACTTTGGTCTGATTTAATTAAGATGTTGAATGAATGAAAAGGTCTACCTAATTCTTGACAGTTTCTTTAATGGCACTGTAATCTGTGCGCTGTTTGTACACCAGAAAGTGATGTCCCAAATAGAAGCTCTATTAGCATGCCAACCCTTCTTATTAGCACCGGTAGATAGATTAACAGCATCTAAAAAAGACAGCAGGTTACAAAAACCTTGCATGCCAAAGTGGCTTTGTATACCCTAAAAGCTATCTAATTACCCTTTAGATGAGCTAAGAAAAAAAGCACAACTGGAATTTTATAATCAGTTTTTAGCCAAGGGTTTAAAATTTTTTCTGACAATTTGAAGTATATAATACACAGTCTAAATTATATTTCATTTATCTGCTTCCTGTGATGTTGACTGGTTTTGTTAAACTCCCCCTTTTGTGTTAATACAGTACTCCATTGCTTTAATACTTTCCTTAACTTTTTATACATAATATATTAAAGTCTTTAAAGTGTTTACTGACTTTGGAATTGTAATAGGTACAGTATTTCTATGGTAGGCCTGCTTTTGTAAACACATCTCAACTGAAGAGGGCACCATATGAATGCTTTTGAACTATTCAGAGCAGTACACGACCATGAAAACATTTAAAACAGATCTTGCTGTGCTATCATGTGCTTTTCCAATCTGGTCCGGTGGTTTACAAAGAGAGAGACTCCTCATAACATAAATGGGTGGTGGACATTCCCCCCCCCCCCCAATTTTATGGAATTTGCTTCTGCCATAAGATCTTGTTGCTCTACTTTCCTGTTTTTTTACAACACATGAAAACAACCTTATTTCACTGGGCCTTTGACCTAAGATGATTGTGGAGATCATCAATGCAGTATAGGAATAATTTCAAATTGATGAATTGTCAGTGAATTATTATTTCTTTATTTGTTTCTTTCCAAATAAGCCAGTCTGGCATGGGACAGGGTAAATTTTTGCTAAACATACAAAAAACCAGTCTAGGTTTCAAGACGTGAGGATATGAGGGGGGGAAGAGACACTTTTTAAACTATTGAATATGGAATATAAAGGTGTACAGGTAGTTCTCAAGTTACATCTATTTGTTTAGTGACCATTCAAAGTTACAAAGGCTCTGAAAAAAGTGACTTACAACCGATTCTCATATTGACGATCATTGCAGAATCCCCAGTCATGTGATCAAAATTTGGGTGCTTGGCAACTGCCATGTATTTACGATAGTTGCACTATTCCAGGATCATATGCTCACCATTTGTGACCTTTTCAGCTGGCTTCCAACAAGCATAGTAAATGATGGAAAATGGGTTCACTTAACAACTGCAGTGATTTCTTTAAGCACTATGGCAAAAAAAGGTCATCAAATCAGGCACAATTCATTTAACAACTGCCTTGTATAGCAATGGAAATTCTGAACCCAATTATAGTTGTAAGTTGAGGAGTACCTGTGTTCTATATCACCTATATGTCAAACACTTTAATTATATCAGCAAAAATTTATATATTCCTTTTCCTGCCAGAAAGGCAAATCTCTTATTAAGCAAGCTTTTGCCAGCAGAGGACAATGTACAATATTTCCTTGGTAGGCTTCCTTCTGTAAATATATTACAACTGAAGATGGCACTACATGAATGCTTTTTAACTATTCAGAGCTGTATATGACCATGAAAATGTTAAAACAGCTGTTGCCCTGTGAGTGTGTACACTGGTCCAATCTGGTCCAGTCATTTTAAACATAGAGATCCTCTTCTCATAAAGTAAATGAGGTGTGGACAAGGCAACAGGCCACCATGGGGCTGATGATACCCCACTGTCTAGGAAACTACATTTGATGGGCCCTTGGCAGTGAATCATTTCTGTTATGATGTCCACATTGTGGAATCTTCATCCCTGAGGCGAGATTGGTCTTATGCTTCTGAGCTTCTGAAAGTCCCTCAAGTTACACCAGCAGACCTGGGGACCCCAAGGAGTTGGATGAACTAGTGAGATAGCTGCATTACTATTAACATCCCTGTGTCTATTATTTCTTAGTTTTAGCTCTGTTTTTTAATTTTTACCATTTTAAGTAATCAGTAATGACAATTGTTTTTGATATTTATTGTTTTAGCTTCATTGTACACCATTGTATATTATTTTGTGATATGAGAAGCTATGTAAATTAGATAAATAAATATAATGAAATTCCTTAAGAATCTAAAACGTCCTGTGAATTTTGTAGATATTTAGTCATTTATAGAAGTAGAAAGTGGTTTAATTAAAAAAACCAGCTTTAATTATCTGGTTTTCCTAAATTTGATGCAACATGATTTTTCTATATTTAGCATGGAGGCAACAGTCTTATAACCAGCTCTGCCATATTCTTAAATGTTTTTAAAAACTAAGAAGCAGTTTCTTAAAGGCAGAATGGAAAGAAATCCCCCCCCCATCCCAAAAGTAGCTATCCTCTTGGTTAAATATAGAAACCTTCTAAGCCCCTGTAACATCTAAAACTAATCTTCCTAAGGCAATTCTGTGATTATTGATACCCAAATGTTACTAAATTAGATTACATTACCATCATGAATATTGGGCTCAATAATTTGAACTATACTGATAAGTTCTGAAATAGTAAAAAAAACAGGAAAGTTCTCAGCAAAAAAATACACTACAGGCTGCATGGAATGGAAAAAAAATGCTTTAGCGCATTAAATCAGTATTCATTTTTCTGAACATTTTGTTTAAATGCCTAGGCCAGGGGTAGGCAACCTTGGCTCTTTTATGACTCATGGACTTCTACTCCCAGAATTCCTGAGCCAGCAAGGACAGCAAGCCACTGAGTTCTAAGCATTTAAAACCACTGAAACTCCATGTATATCAGTACCTGGTAGTAGGAAAAAAAATGATACCAATAATATAAAGATTGTATACATTCTGAGTATTTCAATTTTATTTGAACACATGGTCAAAACTGTACATGCAGACACTTAAAACATCATACATTTGCTTCATGTTCATACCTCTTTTTCAGCTTGCTTCAAAAGCTTTTGGAATCTTTCATCCTCCAAAATACATGGAGGGAGGTCCGTCTGCTCTGATGCTTTCATCTCTTCTAACTTCTGCCTAAGAGCACGAAGTGTCCGTAGTTCATCATTCAGGCGACTCTGTCGGGTCCGGGATGCCTGAAGATCTAACTCTAAGTCAAGAGAAGTACGGACCAGGCGCTGTCGCATTGCTCTCTGTAAGTTGGACTGGCAAGTAGGCTATAATTATCAGGAATTCCAGAAAATAAGAAATATAATGTAATACATGCACTGTATGAGAACAGCCCAACACCCTTATGAAACATAACAAATTTGCTGTGGGCACTAAGGTACTATTTTTGTACAAATGAAGTTGCAGCTGACTAAATTCTAAGGGGTGTCTATTCTGCAGTTGTTTTTATGGAACTGGAATATTTTTGAATCCCTCTAAGATAAGAACCTGTCATACAATTTTCCTTAGGCAACATAAATGAGATAACACAGTAAAAATATACTCTGCAACATCTTTAAACTTTATTTCAATATCAAAACACAACAATTTTGGTACAACTATGATGAGGGGTATTCCTCAGGGGGAAAAAAATAGAAGCTTGTAATATTTCTAACTCTTGAGATTTTAAAAAAGACCGATTTTAAGATTGTGAACGTTTTAAAAAAAGCTATCTTGCAAATGTATGCAAGTAAAATACATTACTGTAGCAAATGGCAGGGCAAGAGTTGAGAAATTCTGAGTTCTATTTGCCCTCAAAGCAAGGCCCCTAGTACTATGCTCATTTACAGGCAAGAAAAAAATGTTATATAATGTTACAGAGAAGATTCAGGACCAACAGGAGGAAAATACTTTATAGAAGTCTTGGTTATACTGGAATTCATTGCTAGCAGTTGTGGGAGATTGTCAAGTTTTTTTTAAAAGGGATTAAACAGGTTCATGCAGGATCATGCAATCAATGACTATGAATAGGCATAGCTTTTTATTACCTTCTGAATCCTTAAGCAGCATGCCTTAATTGCATTTGGTTGGACAATATCAGGAAAGTTAGAGCCCTGCAGTCCAAGCTTGTAAGCTTTCCATGGGCCATTCCATGACAGAATGCTGGAGTAAATGAAACAATGGCCAAAGGACTTTTCTTATTAATTCTGTGTCTGCTACCCAGTCTCCTAGAATAGTTTTTGCCTTGGGAAATATGAGTGGGAACACTGCAATTTAGCAGTGCAACTCTAGCAGCTATGCAATTTATTAAAGATTGAGAGAAAGCTCTGGTGTATGCATATATAGTGTTAAGTAAGAAGGAAAATTTTGGTTTTTCAGGGTTACTTTTCTCTCTTAATGTTGGCTGTATAATACTGTACATGGCTGCTTAGAAATTCATATATTGTCATGTACTGTAAAGAATTCTGTTATGAAGTTATGAAAATGGCGGCGTCCTGTTTGGCTGCAGCTGCATTGGCTCTTTTCGCCATGTATATGTATACATTCGAACTAGACTGTGATGTTTCTGTGTCATATGTGTGTGTGTGTGTAGGTATATGCATAAAGGTATTTTTTTGAGAGCTGAATGCAACGAAATTTTATTTTAATGTATGTTGATTTAGTGTACATTTAAAGTGACAAAGTTTCTATTCTATTCTGTTCTATTCTATTAACACTTGCACTTTTTTAAAGAAAGTCAGTCAATGGGTAAATTTATGCTAGATACATCATTACACAGTTAAAGCCAAGGAACATATTTTTTTTTTGTTAAAAAACCCCCCACCTTTCTTGAAAGTGATTAGCTTGTTTTGCCTTTTAACTAATCAGAAAGGGTTCCATGTAATTGAAATTAAGCATAAATCTATATCAATAAAACATTGTTTGAGGACATATCAGTTTCCTTGGGATGTATTTGGAAGTAAATTGTCTGGATGTTAGCTTTACAATCTGAAAAAAAAAATCTTGTTTGAGATGGATCTATTAATTTTAGTAGCAGCTCTCCGGTCTGCTATGTCACTAGAACTGGAAATGACAGGCCTCTTCTCTGACACTATCTGAGACAATCTCCCCCTTTTTTAATTAAATGTGTAAGAGGACATCACATTCACAGTTCCAGGAACAAAACACAATTCTAAGAATAGCTACAGAGTATAAATTTGGTAGTTGATGAAAAAAAAGTGTCTGATTAACAATGTGAAAGTTAAAATTCTAGTCATGTACATTTCTCTCCACCCCAATTTCTTTAATATATGTAGTTATCTTTATGATTCTTTTTAATTATAAATTATCCAGTCTTGCGGTGAAGTCAGGTGGTCTCAGAATTTTAATATAAAGTTAAATTAAACTAAAAAGTATTTGCCACTGACTGCTGTGCTAAATTTATAATTTGACGAAAAGATTTACAGTCAGTTTCAGAGTCTTTGCTTTGTATGCTTAGATTTAATCCTTAATCTCTCCAAGTAAGGCTGGGAAAGATTCCAATCTATATCTCTGGGGAGAAAGTGTAAACAATAGTGAACTTGGACAAAGATCTGAACTAGCATGTAGCAGCTTTCTGTGTCCAAGTCCCACAATTTTCTTGACAAATCAGGTGGCATTGTCAAATTTATGAAAAAGATTGCCAGAAAAATGTCCACATACAAGAACAACTGGAAAATATATTGTGGCAAACTAACCACAAGTTATGATCATATCCTATATTGCAGCCTCACTCCTACCCTTTAGATGCCCAGAGTTTTACTATAAAAGTTCTGAGAAAAGCAGAAATGCAATGTCAAGAAAGATTTTTGCTACTTCTTGTTTTCAAAGAAATAAATCTTTGTTTTTTGTTTATCAGAATGCAATCTTGGAATAAGAGAAGAGGCAAGATAATGATCTACATCTTCATTAAGAGATTGTATGTGCATGCACACCAATCTGTGTAACATGCATAGCAGTTAGGTTTATAAATAAACCTTTATTATATATTTGAATATATTTTAGAAAAATAAAGAAATGGTCAAACAACACCTACCCTTTTGACTCTCAAGCTCCGCCGTTCTGTGGAATTTCTCACAAAGAGAGTTCTTTTGGCCAATGTTGAGCTATCGCTATCGCTTCTATTCAACTGTCAAAATAGAACAGACAGTAATTGAAACAGAGTGGATAAAGCTAAAATAAAAAAGCTACTAGTATTAAAACTAGCAAAAATAACTACTGCATATTCTATTGGATTTGACTACAATTTTGCATAAGAGATAATTAATGCAATATTGATAAAATGTCACAGTTCAAACATAAATAACTTAATATACAGAAAAACATTCACTTCTTGATTTTAATGAGGCAGATGCTGTTAACAGTATGTTATTAATGGCAACAATGTGGCATCCTACTTGGAAGGATATGATCTAGGATTGACATGGCCCAAGGGGATGATATATGCAGTGAGTATTGTCATTACTAATTTTATTTTTCAACTGGACTGATTGGTGTGAACACATACAAGATAAATCCCAAATTGCTTCCAGTATGGAATAAAATGTGTGAGTGATCCGAGAGGGAAAAGAATCTTTTTGTGTAACAAGGATTCCCATTATTAAATAAATGAAAGCACAAATAAAGAAGGCAGGAAGCTGATACAGAAAATCTGTACCAACAGGCATGATGGGTTTCCTGACTTAGAATGGAAGGAAATGATGAATTGGACCATACAAAGTGATTGTCCTTGATTGTCTTTTTCTTTTTACATTTGGGTTTTTTATTTTTACAGATCTTGGTTGAGACTGATTGATCATCCTGGTACTGAAGGGAGTTTGGATAGAATAATTAATTTCACTACGAAGCCCTATCATGAAATGATCAATTCCTCCCATTCTGTTTTGTAACAGCCTGGTAGGAGAGTCAAGTCTTGATCATGTACTTTAAGTAGATGTGTGTATCAGGAGAAAAATTTGCTGTTACAGTGTCAGAGAACTCCTCAAGGGATACCACTACTGCAGTTAAAGATAAACAGAAAGGACAATGGAAGACAAATACACAAGTCTCTTTCAAGTTTTGAAAAATTCTCAAAAGAGCACTGTGCAAGCCCAGATACCAATAGGATTGATTCACAGAGACTACAATGAAGAACCATCTTTTGCATTGGAGGGCAAATAAATGTTGAAAATACTGAAAAGCAGATTATTTGATGGCTCATATGTACACAGTTTTTGATATTTTGTCCCTGTCATGTGAACATATTGTTTCAGATTTCACATGCACACAGCAATTTTATTTGAAGTATTTCATTTTTGTCATGAAATTAAAAAGTAGATAGATTCTGATTTGTTGAACCTTCTTCCTTCTTTCTTTTGGAAGGTATTCTTAGAATAAGTGCTATTTTCATGTTGCAAATCATAATTAAAAAATTACATGCTGCTAGAAGTGTCATAAAACAGCAAAATGAATATAAATATTTGCACTGAAATGGGTATTAACAGTAAAAAAAGTGAAAAAATATTTTTGGCATCTGCAAGCCAATTCTACACATGACTATTGGGAAAGAATGACTGGGTTCATATATTTCACTAAATGTAGCATATGGTGCAAACACAGTCAATTGTGATTGTCTTCAGTAAATCATGGTTAAACAATTCATGCCTTAGCATCCTGTTCAAACCATGTGTTTGTATGTCAGTAAGAGGGGAAGAGTGAAGGAATGTTAATTGCAACAACTTTATTCTAGCTTAATACAAAGAGATAAATGCTAACATCCAAATAGCTGAGAAGTTACACATTATTTTATAGGTGAAAGCCATAATTTTCATAGCCTCACAGCTGACAGATGGACACTAAGTTCTCTAGAGGTGGCCCACTGCCAGCAATGAGCCACTGCCAAAGAAATTAAATGAGTCTTTAGTTAGCAAGAGTTCATTGAGAACACTCTTTATCTTACCCTACAGATGTACTGGTTCCGCTCGCCTGGAGAGAATGTCTGCGAACGTACTATCATGCTGTTTCTGACAAAGGGATGCTGTTGAGTCTTGAGGCTGGCTTTGTCCTTGGGTCGTATAGCTACACACTCAATCCTATCTTCTGTATTTGTTTCTCTATCAACCTGTGGATATATTATACATAATTTCTGATGTTGAAAACCAAAACCTGCTTACCAAGCTTGTCGATTTATGCCTTTATGACACAGACAAGCTAAATTCAAACCAAAAACCAAGGCTCAAAATACATTAATTTCTTAAGAAATAAAAAGTAAACAGGCATTTAGTGCTCCACAAAAATAGGATGAGATTCTTTTATCTGGGACACATCATATATTTTGCTAGATAAAGCGCCACATACTAAAAAAAACTCTTTTCAGGATTCTTAAAATGAGTTCATTCTAAACAAACAAATCCCTTGTCCATTTAAAACTAAAACTAGATTTTCTTTTAAATGATGATTACTATTGTACTTTTAGGAATGTCATTGTTTTATTCAGAAGTGATGAAATTATACTGGTAAAATAGTTATTAACAAATAAACATAAAAACATAGAAAACTACAAGACTGTCTTGTTCAACATCATAGTATGCCATCTGTAGGCTTCCTGCTGTTGAACTACAATTTCCAACATTTCTTGTCATTGGCATGATGGATGGGACCTTGGAGTTTTCATCTAGAGCAGACATGTCAAACTCGCAACGTCATGTGACGTCGCACAATGTATCAGAGTTTTTTTGCCATTGCCGGCAATGGGGTAGGTGTGGTTTCCTGATGACGCGTCCGGCCCGCGGGCCGGCAGTTTGACACCCCTGATCTAGAGTAACAGGCAATGGCTATCCAGGGTTCTATGAAGAATCTTTACTAGCTACACATGGACTGAAGGTAGGGATTTGTATGAATACTTGAACTCTATTTTTGACTACAGCCTTTCCCAAAGAAAAAACTCAACTAAACTAATTTTCAGTTGTTGAATTAGAATTCTAAACTTTTCAAGTGTTTTCCATTATACAGGTGGTCCTTGACATACAACCTCAATTGGACCAAAATTTCTGCTCCTAAGCTATTCAGTTGTTAAGTGAGTCACACCCAATTTTACAATTTTTTTTTTGCCATGGTCATTAAGCATATCACCATGATCTTTAAGCAAACCATGCAGTCAAAAAACAAATATAGTTTCCCCTATTGACTTTGCTTATTGGAAACCCCTGGGAAGGTCGCAAATGTTGATGACCCCATACCATAATTGTCATAAATATATGCTAGTTGCCAGGCATATATTTATGACAATTGAATTTTGATCATGTGACTATGGATACACTGTGATAGTAATAAGTTTGAGGAGTATGAAGTGGAGATCCAGTTTCCTAGTTTTCCCAATCCAAATCCAATGTCTTAACAATTATACAATATTGGAATTGTGGCTTCTAGTATTTCTAACCAGGCACCATCTTAGAAATTATTCCTTTATTTAAGAGAAGGGAACATCTCTTCCTATAATGGTATCTGCCAGCGATAGTTACTGTATAAATGTTTTTAAAAAATCTTCATATATATTGTTTTACTGGTGGGCACATTTTTTAAATTGATAGCAAAATTTTAATTTTTTTACACATAGTCCTCAGCTTACAATCATTTGTTTAGTGACTGTTCAAAGTTATAACAGAATTGAAAAAGTGACTTACAACTGGTCCTCATACCTACAACTATCACAGCATTCTCATGGTTATGTAACTGACATTTGGACACTTGGCAACCGGCATTTATTTATGACAGAATCCTGGAGTCATGTGATCCTCATTTGCAACTTTCCTAGCCAATTTCTGACATGCAAAGTCAATGGGGGAAGCCTGATTCTCTTAACAATTGGATAATTTACTTAACTGCAGTGATTCACTTAACAGCTGTGGCAAAAAAGGTCATAAAATTAAGCATGACTCACTTAACCACTGCCTTACTTAGCAACAGAAATTCTGGTCCCGTTTGTGGTCACAAGTCAAAGACTACCTGTAATATATTTCTTGGATTACATATCAGTATTTAGGCTTCTAGCATACTGAATGCCTGAATAATGTACACTTAAAGAGAAACAAATTGATTCATACTTTTGGTGAAATATGTGGACTGAAAAGTATAATCCTTCAATTTCCATAATTTTCTAAATGTCAGATTGCAGATCTAAATTCCAGATTTTTAAAAAAAAACGCAAATCATATAAAATATGTATGTTTGAGAAAAATATGGCCAAATGTAAATAGTCAAATACAGATTTTTATATGGATTATTTTTAAAAATTGCAGTTTAAAGAGGGAGTACGGCATAACAGATTTAAAAATGAACATATGCAAAATTTATAATTCATGGATGGAAAATGAACTGATTCATCCATCACATATATAATCTCCCTTCTAGCACTGTTTTTAAGAGCTCAGCCCTTGTTATTAAAACTTCAAAACAGTTGCAAAAATAAAAATATTAAGTGTGTATGCTAGTATAATTTAAACATTAAATAACTTATTAAATATTTAAAACATCCATTATTAAACATGAATTATCGAAGAAATAAGCATTAAATGTTAACTAGCAAGCTAAATATTTTTCTGTGGCTGCTCTAAGTATTTTTTTTTCCTTGCTCCTTCTCTTTTTTTGTACTATGCAACAAAAACAAATTCAAGTCTTTAAAGTACCAATTCAAAATCACTACATGTATTAAATGCTATACTAAATTTGTACATTTAACTGAAAACTTTTTGAGAAATTTGCGATGACAAATATTATGGCTCAACTATAAAAGGCATTTTAGGCCATATAGGAAATGTAATTTAAAATACTCACCAGTATTGGGGACATTATTTCTTCGTTGAGATCTACTTCTGTAAGGTTGGTGTCTTTCTCATGATCAGTACTACCTGCCTGTTCCAAATTAAAGCTCATTCTCTTGCTATCTGTGCATTTGTCTTCTTCTGTCTCTTTAATTTTGTTCTCTTCATTCATTTCTCTCGATACTTCTGCCAGTATTCCTATCCTGTGAGAACAAATCTACCCTTAATTTACTAAGGTATTTGGAAAATAAAATACCAGCATATTTGGAACCTAATGTGGGAAGAATCCAAAATCTTCATCACTAATAGTCATACAAGGTGACATTATCAACAATTTATTTTGGCCAGAGTTAAACTTCTACTGAAACATTTCTATGGTTTCGGTATTCTCTTCTTTGGAAAAAGCAGAAGGATCTGTTATAAATTTACTGTGTTAGAACATCATAAAATTCAATGTAAATTTGATGTTCAAGGTTATTTCTGGATATAGCACTGTAAGTTTTCTCCTCTGCATAATCACTTAGCTGATATTTCATGGATATTGAAAATAGATAAAATAACAACAATATCCTGAATGGATAGAAAGTCTAATTATAGCCCAACAAGTCACCTTTCAAACAACTTTACAGTAAAATGAAGGACCAAAACATTGAATCAACTAGAACAGAGTTCCCCAATCATTCCAGATGGTGGGCTGGGGGGAGGGGGGGAAAAGGGGATGGTTTTGTGAGAGGGGCAGGTGCGTGCATGCGCAGCACGAGCACACATTGCTTGTGTGAATGGGGCCAAGAACTTGCGCAAATGAGGGTGCAAGTGAGGCCCCAAGCGCTTGCTCGCACTCGTGACGCTCGCATGAGTGAGGCCCTGAGTGCCTGTGATGCTCGGCCGAGGGAAGTCCCGAGCACTCTCCACACTCTAAATTGTGCTTAACAAAAGTTGCTTAGAAACAAGTGATTCACATTATAAGCATAATAAGCATTTCTTAGAAGAGAAGATGCAAGAAACGTTTACTGCCTTCATGCCCAGCTTAAACTTACCAGCAGTAAGCTGCTATATGAATCTTTGTTCTGATCAAAAATAAAGGAAGGACTGCT